CTCGCACTGACTCAAACCACCTTCCTACATAATTTGCATTTGTAGGATAGGCCTGGTTGGTCGACAGGCTAGAGAACATTTACAATGTTAGCGGTAATAAAAAGTTGATTAATAGAAAAAGGCTGTTGCTATTTGCAGCCCACATGAAATCCATGTAGGCGCTGTCCAAATTACGCCTACACGGTTGTTTTCCGCCAAAAAGCGCCTACATTTATGATGTAGGCGCTTTGTCCTTTTTCAAATGACGCCTACAGGCTGAAAAACCAATGTAGGCGTCATTTGTGTATGCCTACATTCTAAAGATAAGATGTAGGCGCTATTTTCAAGCGCCTACATTCTAAAAATAAAATGTAGGCACTTTTTTTGAGCGCCTACATTGTTTTGCCATGTAGGCGCTTAAGTTAGTTATAAGGGTCTTTTACATGTGTGAATACAAATCTATAAGGGTGCTGGTATTAATATATAAGGGTGTTGGTATTAAATTATAAGGGTGGTGAGGTTAATTATAAGGATGGTGAGATTAATTATAAGGGTGGTGAGATTAATTATAAGGGTGGTGAGATTAATTATAAGGGTGTTGGTATTAAATGATAAGGGTATTAAATGTAAGAGTGCGCATTTGATTATAAAATTATAAGGGTCTTATAATTAATTATAAGGGTGTTGGTATTAAATTATAAGGGTGATGGTATTAAATTATAAGGGTGTTGGTATTAACATATGTAGGCGCACAAAAATTACGCCTACAGTAAAAAAAAAATGTAGGCGCATTTTTGTGACGCCTACACAATGTAGGTGCTTCAAATTTACGCCTACATTTTATTTTTAGAATGTCGGCATACACAAATGACGCCTACATTGGTTTCTCAGCCTGTAGGCGTCGTTTGAAAAAGGAAAAAGCACCTACATCATAAATGTAGGCACTTTTTTGTGGGGAACCTCCATGTAGGCACTGTTTTGGCAGCACATACATGGATTTTGTGTGGGCTGCAAATAGCAAGGGCCTAGAAAAATTGAATCAAACTCACATTGTTACCAGCATGTGTAGGTGGATCGAAGTAATCGTATGGACAATTGTATTTGTCAGGGACCGCATGGTTCCTTTTCCTTTTCCTGAGCTGTAAGTTATCTTCATCGGAATCTTGAGCCAAGTCCACTTTGGGCGGACCAATTACTATCTGTAGATAGTAGATTGGTGGGTGACAAATCAGCAATTGAACCGAAGTAACAAATCAAAAAGAAAAAATAATATTCACATTGGCTGATGCATTGCTTCTTTGAGCTCTTGGATGACTTAGAACATGATTATTGGTTCCAGCATCTGATACAGAAACTGAGCGGCCTCAATGGGTACCTGCTGTATGCTAAAAATCATCAAAGAAGTAAAAAATGTAATGAAGCTTGAATTAGTATGAGATTGAAGGATGGGTATGAGAAGAGAAAGGATCACTTACCATTGATGTTTGACGTGATAATGTCTTTGATTGTCCGCGAGATAATGGACAAGGTGCCTCATCAACACCTGGTAAAGACACTGATTGCTTTTGTTGTCAAGGAACGTGCACATCCCGCCCTGAGGCTGTAGCCTAAAATTCAAAATGAAGTCAAAATGATAATGAAGCATGAAGTAGACTTAGTAGTAGATTGTTGGATGGAAATGAGAAGAGGTAGAAATGCTTACAATTGATGTCTGACGTGAGATTGTATTCGATTGTCCGCGAGTTACTTCACGAGGTGCCTGATCAACACCTGGTAGATACGCTGATTGCTCACGTTGTCAATGAGCGTGCGTGTCCCTCACGTCTTGGATCACTTCAAAGGTACCACACCAAGAGTCAGACAAAGGTATAATCATACCTGGTAATTGTCTAACTGGAGTAACTATCCAAGAAGATCAGCCAGGAGCTTGATCACCATTATCGGTCTCATATCCTGAAGCAACAAAGGTTTCAAGAGTTGGTTGTTTAGTTAAGCTAGGCATGATTTGATTTAAAGATGATCAATTTGAAAGTACAATGATTTTAAAGATGATCAATTCAAAAGGACAATGATTTTAAGTGATTGGAAATTGGATAGTGATTGGAAATTGGACCGAGAGGTTCAAAAAACAAGCAATGAAATATCAGTCAAACATTATCGATTTGATAGTCTGTGCAAGAGAAAAGAAAAGAGAGATGAGTGACCTACCTTTGTAGTAATTCCAGGTATCGATACCCTATGTCCGTGCGTGGAGAGACAAGGATGTCTCCCAGTGGCACCATAACCAGATTCAAAAAAGATCTGTAGTTGTTGAATAAGAAGGTGAAATTGGAGATGATCTTTGATACAGATGGCTTGAGGTGATATTGGATTTGAGGCTGATCAAATCCAAATGGTGCCATTGGAAACGTGGGTGAGATGTGTACCTTTGATCAAAGGTTGAAAGTAGCGTAACCAATACGGTGGCTGAATTTAGTGGCTGTCAGCCCTGGGTACATATGTATGTACCCAAAGACTAACTTGTAACATAGATAACCACCTTTAGACAACTAATTACATGTACATAAACCTTACAAAACATATGTAACTTGTAATAAATTATATATACATCCTAATTACATATACATATACATGTAAAATAATATGTAACATGTAATAAAAATATCAATTACACCTCATAACTCAGTGTCAAGAGTTAAAAAAGTTATATTACATATTACACATAACATGTATATGTAATTAAGCATTATCAGTAATAATCTTAAATAATAATGATAATCAAACCCTAACCCAAAGTAGGGATGTAAACAAATCTCACCACAGTTAGGTTTGGAGAGGAGAGTATATAAACCCCTCCTCTCTCAGCCTTGAGAGATTGCTCCCCAAGCTTTATTACACACTACTTTTAAGAACAACTTAAAGTTCTACTGAAGTAACATCAAGAGTCTTATAAATATAAGACTAGTGATATCTTCATTACTTTAATCTGTTCCCTGATTAAAAGTAAGTAATACTCTTCACCTTTCTCTGGATCCTCTACTTCCCCCAAGTAGAACTCTCATAGGTTGGTGACCATATAACAACCCAAGGTTGGTGACCATAGAGCCACCCAGGTTGGTGACCATAAGAACAACCCAGGGTTAGTGACCATAGAACAACTAGTCTAGTGAACTTCATCCCACTCTTTAATCTGTCACTTGAAGATTCAAGGAAAGATTAGGATCCACGCTTCACCATTTATAATCTTATTTCAGTATCTTCCCTTCCTCATCCCTTTCCTTTGTTTATAATTCTTGTAACTACTTTTATATCTGAAATATAATCATAAGGATCCCACTAAATGTAGCCCGGTATCCGATATCCGACGCCCCAAAACGGGTCGGACCCGGGGCTACAAATATATTTGTAGCCCCCTCGGAAAAAAAAGGGCACATAAAGAGGGCTGCGAGGGCATACAAAACGGGCTGCACGCTGCGTTTAAATTTTTATCTTTAGGTTGTTATTGCACCAGTTTGAAGGGGCCCATGTAATTATTCTGTAGTCCTTCAAGTTTTTCTCAAAAACTTGTTCTTGACCCATGAAAATGAGATTAGTTTTGGTCGGATCGCACAGGAGAGTATGGGCATACATAAACACATACATTGGCATACATCGGCATAGGCAGGCATAGGGTAAGGGTAAGTACAAAGTCTGAGAAGGCATACATGAGGATAAGACGTCACATTACAAAGTAAAAATCAACCAACCAATGATTTTAAAGAAAGTGATGAAACAAAATAAAAGAGCTTAAACGAAAGAGAGTGATGAAACAACATGATAATATTTTAAAGAGAGTACAATGAAAAGAAGAAGAAAACAACCTAAACTCGGTTTACCCACAAATCGAATTGGATTTGATATTTCACAATCCACTGTGGAATTTTGCTTGCACTGATTGTGTCGGAAAGCCAGTCGCCGTAGGTTCCTGGGAAGGGGACTGATTGAATACCGACACCGAGGCTGACAAAATGAATACTATTAACAAAGGCAAGGATGATTGGACTGTTGTTGTTAGGAGGGGTGCGATACGGAAAAAAAGAGTAGCAATTGCTTTCAAGGGGATCTAGAATTATAACTGGACGATCGTAGGCACTCGCAATGACATATCCTAGATAGGGCATGCGCAGCCAGTATTCGTCACCGCATGAAGGCCCCTGGGGTTCGAGTCGAACCATCAGGTCTTCAATCACTTCTGCGGCATAAGACTTGGTTTGCCTTGTCTTCCTTCCATTATCTCGAAGTGTCATACCTGGAGCAGTAGAGAGTAACTGCTCATGTGCATCGCGAAATGACAAAAGTTCTTCACGTAGTCGATGGCGAACTGAAACGTAAGAGTCCTTTTTGTGGAGGTTGAGTGCTGCGGCAATGGCGTAATAGCCACAATTGCCATATGGAGGAGGATCGAAAACTGAGTTGATGTAAGGAACAACAAATGCAGGTAGTTGATTCAATATCTTCTGTTCATCAGGAGATCCGAGTTTACTCTTTTGTAGGTGAGTAGAACCAGAAGCAGATGAGGCTGCAGGGCGTGATTTGGTGTTACTTTGTTTGGATTTCGTCTTGTTTGTTTGATCGGATACCGGTTCAATGATCACAAAATCATCATCTGGAATGATTGGGAAGACTGCTGCACCAAAAGTTCGACTAGATTCCAGAGTTGCTCGTACAACAGGATCATGTCGATCCTTGTTTAAATCGTGGCCAATCAAACACAAAGCCAATTCGGGAATTAACACTTGTCGGATCAAGCGATCCGGGGTCAGAGGGGATGCCTTTCTTTTGTCAAGATGATTGATGGATGATTTATCTTTGATGAAGATAAACTCAAGTGTTCGGACGATAATTTCGAAACCTCGATAACCATAACTGAGAAGAAACAAAAGGCATGGTATCAGGAAAAGTAAATGGTCAAGCTAGAAAAGATGGAAAGCTCACTATCCAGGTAGCTCAATGTCAAAGTCCTCCAATTGGCCTGCTGTTGCACGACCCTTCTTCTTTGCCTCTTCAAGGAAATCAGACGGTTCTGATTTATTGATTATGTTGTTGAGAATGGGCAAATAGGTCCTGATGCGACTAAGAAGTGTGACAAACAATCCGACATATAAGCAAACAAATAGAAAATATTAGAACAGTAATCATACTTACTTTTCTAATGCAGTAAAATCGATTTCAGTGGGCCAACCTTGGTTCACTCCATGAGGTATGGTCACACATTCGTCTTGATGCATCTTGCAGAACTCTCCTGTCTGAGGCCACTGTCGCTCAAGAATACAATCAGTGAATGAAAACAAATAGTAAATAAAATCATCACTCACTTTAACATTTGGTATCGCGAGCAGGGTAGCCATCAAGGCAGTAAGCTTGGTGGATGGTTCAGCTGGGAGTGGATCGTCGCAAAAGGGGACATAAATCGTGGTCTTTCTCTGATTCTTCGCAAGATTCATTTGAATCATTGTCTGATTTGCCACAGAAGTCATATTCATCTTCATGTTCTTCCTCACTTTCGGAGTCGACATCAGAAGCTTGATCAATTTTCTTTTCAGCCGCTGCAAGATCGATGGAGTTGTCAATTTCGATATCTTCCATTTCGATATCTTCGAGAAACAATGCTGAGCCGGTAGTTCCAGATCCTGATGCCAATGGAATTTCGGGGACATAGTTGGGGCCGGTACCTGTTGCTTGTTCTGCAGCTTCCTTGGCAATACGGCGTTTACACGTGGTGATACGGTGACCACCTTCAGAGCAATAGCTGCATTTGTTCACACGAGGCTTTTTGTTGGTTTCAGCGATTTCAAAATCTGATTTCCATCTGGCCTCATCAGAAGTGGGACGACCACGTTTCAACTGGTTGGCTCGAGGTCGTCCTCGAGGGTTTGTGTTGACTTCTGCATTCAAGATTGGAACAAGTGAATATTGGTGAGTTTCGAGAAGTGACAATTCGCCAAACAGCTTGCGAAGGGTGTGTTCTGGCAAATCGACGATGTAATTGAACTTCAGACGAGCTGCTGCTTGAAGGCCTGAGTAGCTGTCTGGTGCAATATCCATTGAAAGCTTCCATTGTTCGTGGATAACATCTGGTGAAAGGAAGTCATGGTTATCTCGAGCAGTTGCAAGATCGTGTGAACACGGTAGGCCCCAAGCGCCCCGGAAAGTGCCAGAGCAAGGCTTTTCGAGGGAATTCGGCAGTAAATCGTATTGCAGCTTAATTTTTTTGAGCGCGAACTGTGAGACTAATCCATTCAAGTCCTTGAAGAATATGGGGAGTCCTTGAAGGGATTTCGTCTTCTCAATTCCCACAGACACCGATATTTCAATCATCTGATGCTCCTCGAACCGCTTGAAAGACTGGAAGCAGGTTAGAAAATCGTTATTTCGACCGTCAAGAAACCGTTTGGCTCTGAAGTGACTGCCTTCAGTTCGAGAAGTGGACGAATTCCCGAAGTGGGGAGTCTGAGAAGTGAATAATTTAACAAACTTGCTGGTTCGATTGAGCCATGTCCTTTCGAGGTAATCCAAGACGTTGTGAGCGGTGGCCATTTTGGTTACGGCCTCAAGATTGGCATCATGCTCAGATTGGGTCGGCGAGGCAACAAAGCAGTTCCAAAGTTTCAAAAAGATGGTCCATTCGTCCTCAGTAAATTTGTTCTTGCAGTGTTTGGCAATGTTCTGGTTGATATGCCAGATACACAATATGTGTACTGACTCGGGAAAAACCGTACCGATGGCATTGATTAAGGCCTGTTCTGCATCTGTAGCAAATGTTTTAGGTGTCTCAACGTTAAAGGCCTCGTCTTCATTCTGAAATATAATGTCTTTCAACTGATTCAAGGCCCATTGATAGTCAGATTCGGTCTCCTTGGTCATGAAGCACATGGCGACAGTGAAAGACTTGTGGGTGTTTGAAGTACCAACAATATGTAATAAGGGCATATTGAAGCGATTGGTCCGGTAAGTACAATCCATGGAGAGAACAGTAGGAAAACGTCGAGTGAGACTGATGGCGGTGGGGCTAGCGAAGAACAAGTTGTGAATGGTTCCGTTGTCAGCAGTCAAGGTTCGGTGAGCCCAATGACTTTTGGTGATTAAGTCAAACAGTCCTTGAATCGGTGTCCGACCATTTAACCAGTTGGACCTGAGTCGAGATCGTACATTATGGATATCGCGGACTAAAGGTTGAGAACCAGGTTCGACGTCAATGAGAGACCGAATCTGGAGTGGTCGAATTCCAGCAGAAGATAACAGGTCAATCTGATTGCGAACTTCAGGTTGAAATCGACGATAGATCGCTAAGTTGTGGGGTTGAGTGAAGGCCGGGTGATTATGTTCATGTTTATCTACTTTCTTGAGATCGTAAGTCACGATCCATCGGTCAACTGAAGAACGATAGTTGAGAGATACTTCAAATAAACATCCAGTCTTCTTTGAGGAAGTCGAGCGTTTTGTAGCAGTTGATTTGCCTCCATCACCTAACGAGCATCGAAGGTAGATCCTGATAGTGCCGTGGTGGTAGGGATCGGTCTTGTGGCTCTTGATAGCCAGTGCGTATCCTTGATGGCGAGCTACTGCATTGAGATACATAAGGCCATTGTCCTTCTCTACAAACCGCTTGCCGGCCTTTGGTGCTCCAAGCATGCGCACCGGTGGAACCCCTATTTGACACATAAGAGAAAAGATTGTAAGTAAGAGCATGACCATAAAAACAAAACAAATAACCCACCAATTGGAGGCCAATCAGCATCTCGCTCGTTTGGAATACCACCTTCGTCTGCTTCCAAGGCAGTCTCAATCAAAGTAAGAGCAGGAGGTGAAGTCGCATCAGGTGAAATAACGGAATTGGTGGTGGTTAGTGCAACAGCAGTAGGAATGGTTTCAGTCGAGGTTTGAGTCGAGGTTTGAACAACTTGAGGCAAAGTCGAAGCCTGAGTCAAAGGTACCGATGTCGAAGTCTGAGTAAAAGGTATTGATAAACCCTGAGGGGACTGAACGGTTTGAGTCGAAGGAACGGAAGAAAGTGTTTGAGGCGTGGTTTGAGTCAAATTGATGAAAGGTACAGGTACAGTTCGTGAAGAAACGGGTGGAGGATGAGGTTCGGTTTGAGTCAAATTGAAGAAAGGAGAAGACGTCGGAACGGGTTGAGAAACGGGTTGAGGAACAGTTTGAGTAAAATTCAAGAAAGGAGAAGAAGTCGGAACGGTTTGAGTCAAATTCATGAAGGGTGGTGTAGTATAGGCAGCCGCCTGCGCAGCTTGAAGGTAAGCTGCGAACAAGGCAGCTTGAGGGATGCCAGGGGGAGGAAACCAGTAATTAGGAGGATTGGGGTGGTTAAATAACAGATGTTGAGATTGAACGGTGGGTTGTGAGTTGGGATTAGGTTCACTATTCGCCGCATTCAGAGGATTGTACGGCTGTACAATTTCGCCCGAAGGCATCGGAACTGGTGGAATTTGGCCGGACATCGCTGTGATTACGTTGTATGGTTGTTTTAGTGAACAGTGGGGAAGGGCAAGGGGTGGGAACGCGCGGGAATAAAGGATGTATTAATGGAGTAAGTACTCAATGGAGTAAGTACGGTAGTGTGGGGTAGGTTGTGAAGTGTGGGGTAGGTTGTGAGATGTATGGTGTTTGGTGTGCTTGGATGCGAGGTTGAATGGTGGTGAATGGTTAAATAAGGTTTGATGATTACTAACGGGAAGAAGGAGTTTAAGCGCACAAAGAAAGAAAGGAAAAGGGAGAGGGAAGAGCAAGAAGAGAAAGGTCATATGTATACAAATGTTTGACTCAGGGCACAGGATTTCTGAGAGCTTCCTCTATTGCATGAAAAATCACAGCGCGCCCGTTTTTTTTGAAGTATTCGTAAGGACATTCGTAAAGGGGCTGTGGGATGAGACAGTGCCCACGTAAGTAGCCCCTGGTGAGCCCTTTAGGTCCGACACAGCCAAAATTTGGCTGTGTGCTATTGGGTTTTTCTCGGTACCCGCGTATAATGCCCCAAATGGGGCGGGCTACGGATATTTCCTAACCGGGCTAAATTTAGTGGGATCCAATCATAATTACTTGCATTATAAGACCCACCTTGCCCAATTAGTGAGCCTTGAGTACTCAAAAGAGTAACTCACCCTCACAGTGGCGGTAAAGATCCCGGGTCCAAAATGGCAGCGCATGGCGTAACTACCCGGGCCCTGGGGGTCCCGGGGAAGGAGACAACAGCGCCGGGCGCAGCGCCTTGCAGCGCTCGGCGCTGCTGTCTGCGCTGTGAGCCAGACTTGGTTATGTACCCACTTTCCCTGCAATTTTTCTGCAGATTCCTAAATTTGTATGGGTTTTGATGGAGTATGGCTTACAGCACAGATGGGTTATGTCAGAGAAGACTGTAATGGGATTTGCTCAATCATTATGGCATGCATGCAAGAACAAATCAAACATCCCAACACCCAATCCACAAGGGCCAAAAGCCGACTCAGATGATCCCTGATCTCTCAACCAATTTTGGGCCATGGATTACCTTAGCTAAGGAATCATTGCATCAAGTGCCATTGAGCAACATGGTCATCAAATTTACATTCAAAAATTGAGTGGGAAGCATTGCCTAGTAATCTGAACACTCCACAGATCATTGCAAACCAAAACAGGCTGAATAGTGGGGATGAAAAGTCCAATAAGAGAATGCATATGTAGCATATTGAATTATTTGTTGAGGATGATTGCTGGTTTAATCATAAACAAAAATCTCAAAACTCAATGTATTCTCCAGTCAACTTGATGACATTGATCATCACCTTCAATTTCTATATATAAGATGAATATGAAGCGATGGGAATCAAAAGGAAAAGTTGGTTTAGTGTGGTAAACAGCCTATGATGTCATGACTGTACATATCGTAAAAGAATGAAAAGTCCGACCCCTCAGTAAACATGACACATATTATTACAGACCAACTTATTCCCATTCCCATCTGTTAATAACCCGTTACCAACAACTAATTATTTTTCACCTTGGAGAAATACATTATCTTTGCAGTGTTATTGATTAATTTCTTATTTGAAGAGAAGTCGTTTGAGGATGATACTAGTTGAGTGGATGAACGGAGTAGCTTTATACATGTGAAAGCTTTTGAGACAGATAAGGAATACAATCATGTTTTGAACCAATTGAGTCTTCTGATTGATGATAACCAAGTTAAGTATTGAAATGTCAATCTTGTTGCTAATGATAGAATGAAGATTGATGATGATAAGCTGGTATTTGAGGTGATAAAGATTTATCATTGAAGTGATTAGATTGAAGTTCATTTGAATTTAAATTGGGTTTTCTGAGCTTAGCATTGCTAAGCTCAACATAAGGGGTGATAACGCATATGTCAAATGTTAATCAATACAAGTGAAATGTGAAAAATTAAAGCTACTAGGGAACATGAAGGCATGCCCGCCACAGTCTCACTGTCCCCAATGAGTTCAACTTAATAACACAAATTACTTAAAAATGTTCATTTGATAGAGTAAGTAGTATGT